GCCGCTCGCCTTAGCCTGGTGCCGCCCCGGCGCGGGGGGTGCTGCGCCGCCGCGGCTCCTCAGCGGAGCCTCGCAGTAACCGGTGGTGCCCGAGGGGACAAGCTCCGGGCAGCGCTCCGCGCAGGGGCCGCTCCTCCTGCCCGCAGCTCGCCCCTGCGGGAACCGCTCCGTGCGACCCGTCCGTCGGAGCTTCGCCTGGAGCACTCGCACTCTCTGCTTCTGTCTTTGTGCTGTGCGTTGACATACCGTTGTAACAGGGGAACACGAAGAGCTAATTCCGTGCTGAGTGGGTGGCAGCGTGTTGCTCGGCCTGTGAGGAACCCGGCACACCACCCTCCTGTGGCAGGGGAAGAGGCCGGTCAGTTGCCTAGCTGCTGCTCGGAAGCAACTGCACTGTTCAAAACACCCGGCTGCTAGTTACGCTTCACGCCTTGCCAGCTGGTAAACTTCACAAAGGCTGTCCCGTTAAACAGTGTCTTTTCTACGTCAGTCACCGCCCCATGAGCATTGCACAAAATGTGTCAGCAGGTGTGGCTGGTGCGCCCATCCGTTTCTGCCCCGCTGAGGCCCAGCGGGCTCGGCCACTCTGACCGGCCGGGCACCATCGCCGTGTGTGGGTAGGACACTTCCACCGCTGCCGTGAGGTGACCCGTCCTGACGCGGGCTCTCGCTCACAGCATAGCCTGCCTAAGAGCAGCTGTTTCCTGGTGGTGTAACTATCGATTTTCCAATTCCATATGGAAAAATAAAATGAAATGCTATTATATACAGCAGGTGATTTTTTTAAAGAGAGGAAAGTAGCCTCTGAGCTTTCCCTATGTTTTGATTTATGGTCACAATAATGTTTTAGAGGTCAAAATGAGTAGCGATGCCAGAAGTATTGAAGCATATATTGATCCGAGGCCCACAATGTGCTAATTCAGTGCTTTAGAAATACCAACAGCACTGTTTTACAGAGGCAAGTGGTCTGAAATATGATCTCTTACTAGATAAAAATAAAAGCTGTATAACATTGGGAAATATACATTATTTGCCTTTAGATATATGATCTTACATTTGGCCTCCTTGAAACACAAATTGTTAGCCTAAGCACATCTTCCCAGGCAATCCCCACCATTCTGTAGGAGAGTCCTCCTCAGTTTTACCACTTCTCCAGGCTCTAAGATTTACAAACTATGAATAGGGATTTGGTCTTTAAAAATAATAATCTAGAAAAAGTCTAAAACTGGTTCTTGAAGCACACGAGAAATATGGTCCTTCTCCCGTGATTCCCCATATATGATTTTATGTTGAGATCAATTATTTAACTATGTTTATTCCATTGAATATATGATCGATGTTCATAAATTGAGTGGTCACACAATAAAAGCAGCCACAGACTGGTCACCTGGCTTCTTCTAATCCACAGGAAATTCTTCAGAAGAGCCCTGGTGGTGATTTCTAGTGTCGTACCATGTTATGAATTACCACTAGTAGATCATGACTGCATCAGCCCGTCCAGGCCCCGTGTATTCTGCCAGATCTCAAAAAGAACTACGTCAGGCTGTACCCTCATCCCTTTCAGGATGCTCTACATTATGTAGAATTCCTAGCACAAATAATTTTGACAGTTTTCAGATCTCTCTGCAGATATCCTTGATTTTCTCGTTCAGTGATTTAAAAGGCCATCCTTAAGAATGTTGCTCTATCCGTTTGACTTTCAGATATGTCTTCCTTATTTTCACACCGAAATCTTGATAAGAATTTTAGGTGTGTCCTGTTCTTTCTGCTGCACATAATCTGCTTGTTTGTCTGTCTGTGCGCGCTTACAGAATACCTCTGGGTACTACTTGTACGCTGCAAGTCCTACTCTTTTCTAGTTTTTACAGGTTTTGGCTTCCTTGGTGGCCAGTCCTTTCCTTTCTTGAACCTGGAGTTACAGTGGTTCCCTAGGCAAGCTGTGAGTGTTTGTCAGTGAGCTGCAAGAGCGGCTTCCTTCCACGGAGGAAGAGAACCCCAGCCTAGGCAGGCCCGTCATCTCTAACAAGGGCACCAACTGCCCAACCATACTGGGCACAGCAACACGGAGCTGGGCTGGCGACAGTACAAGGTTCTGTTGACCGTCCAGCAACCATCAGGCAAATGCAAGGTGACAAGTCAGATCCCAGCTCAAACGCAAGTGAAGAAGTTGGAAGCAGCAGGGGAGAGGGCTGGGCACAAGCCCACCTACAGCAGAGCTCAGGCAAGGCCCGGGATGGAACTTGGATGCACTTTTTTTTTTTTGGTAAATAATATTATGCATAGGTAGCAGAAAAGATCATTAGCACTGGGAAGAACAAAAAACCAAGTGAAATGGTCTTTTATTTAGTCAAAATATTTTTATTTGGCTGTATTTAGAAGGTCTGCTTTCCTCCCCCCGCCCCCCACTTGCTCATTATTTCTGATTTCTCATGCTTCCGTTCTTTCAGTACAATATGTTAACACCTTGCACCTCTTCAGCGCTTTCCAGTTAAGGCTCTCAAAGCCTTTACAGACATGAGTTAACTAATCCTCACAACAATCACTAGCAGCAGGGAAGTAAAATGATCTGCATCTGCAGAGTGAAGTTAAGATCAACTTTTTTCCAAGTTTTTCTTTGATTTTCAGTGTCCAGCTTGTATTATGCTAGGCTTGACGAACATATGTATCCCTGCACTTGTGTTTCATGCTTTTGAAAGACAGACTGAGTTTGAGCACTCAAAATCTGAAGCTATTTATGAAAATCTTTAAGTATCTTGTTGAAGGCCACACAATAAGCGAGCAGTGGAATCCAAAACTGGGAACAAGGCATAACTTCCAGTCATGTGCTATACTATCAGACATAACTCTTTGTAACTTACCTTTGGACTTTAAAACCACAAAATCCATTCCCTTCTCCTTACACATTATCCTCTACTGGCCATTTCCAGCAGATTTCAACCTCGGGTACTTACATTCTGCATTTTACTAGCAATTTTACGTGAGGGTCTCGAGAGTCATCAATTGTATACAGTATACAATGCCTTTGGGTGACTGTAATGAGCCTTAATGGAAAAAAAACTGGAAAAAAACAACAACCTAACAAGCAACAGGTGTGGATTTTATCTTTGAATATTTAAAGCAAACTTCAGAGTTCATGGAAAAATCTAGTATGTGATTGTTTTAAGGAAAACATCCCCCATCCCCAAACCTGGTTCAAACGGAAGACTAAATATTAACTTGACATTAATACCTTCTTATCAGTAGTGCATCTGCGTAGAGATTCTTCATAAACCCCTGCAAATTCACAATTATACCTTGCGAACAGAAGTACTATGACTGTTCAAGCAAACACTAATTTTTAAAATACTCATTCAGTTCATGTAAATGGTATCTTCACATTAGCTCCATCAGAAGATACTGGCATGAAACACAGATGAAACTTTTTCTTAGTTAGGTTAACACTGAAAATTCAAACAGTCAGACAAACACAATGCAAGTATTTTAACAGAAACAATATAAAATTTCACTGGCTTAAAAAAAGATCTAAATGAGAAATCTTGGTTATTTCAATGAATTGCTAGACCCTACATTTAAAATGATGGATTTACAGAACTATTCAGATGAATTAGGCTTCTTCTATAACACTAAATACTGGAATTCTGATAGATTGTGCAAGTATTAAAAAAATATTAACATTTTAAATGTTAACATTACAACTTTAAATAGCCTTGCAAGTGCAATGTTATAAATACAAAAAAAAAACCCTCAGAGCTACAATTTTATATAAGTTATATGAGTAAATGAAAGTGCTTTTCAAGTATTTATGTTCATTTACAGTTGGATTCTCTTGTATAAGTCAGTGCTCAGATGGTACAATTTAAATATCAGTCTTTTTTTAAAATTTTGGATGCATGCATTTAACTGGATGGAATAGTTTCATTTGCAGAAATGTGTCATAAATATTTAAATACAGAATATATTTGGTGATAAACATGTAAATATGGAATATTATAAAATGTGAACATTATATTTTTTGTTATCTTTTAAAAATAAAATCGATCACATCCTGATGGGTGTGTGATAACCCAATAACGCCATGGGAGCCCTTGAGCCATAGAGTAATTGTTAATTCCATCAAAATCCCAAATTATGATATGCTAAATTGTTGTTCCTCAGTAGAGACAAAAGCGTGTGATCATAATAGAGGCCCAATACTGTCAACGCTTCAAGAATTTGAAAGATCTCATAATCTCCCTCAAAAGCTGTGGAACCTAATGAGAACTTTCCAAGACTTTCAATTAGTCAGCCCTTAGCTGTAGTCACTCTGGAGAACACAGCTAGTGCATGTCACCACTGTACTGCCTGCCCCATGCATGGTGGAGCTCCCTTTCTGGCTAGTCAAGAACCATTATTATTGCAGTGATAAAAAAAAAAAAAAAAAAAAAAAAAAAGACTGTATTCCTCTTTGCCAGCCAGAGGAAGGGTGAGGTAAATGGGGAGATACTTGTTTATTAGCCGAGAAAACCAAAGCAAAACAACCCCAAATGAATCATTATATATTTAAAAGTGCACTGAAAATATTTCCTATTAACCCTTTCTCTCATAAGTGCCAGATTTTCATCTTAAATTATATCCACTTTGAACACTGAACATATGTAAGCTGGTATGAGAGCATTTAGTTTGTCTTGCAGTTTGAAAAGCACATGACACAAGGCAGCATTAACATCTTTCATTAAAGATCTGGCGATGCCATAGTTTTATCATGAAGATGCAGCTTAGAAATGACACAGTTCAGCAGAAGCCCCTGCAGACTGCCATTACAAGCTTTCTCCAACAAAGTGCTGTGTCATTTGCCAAAGACAAAAGTCAAACTGTTGCCCTACCTCACCACAGTGCTGCACTGGCAATTTATAATTTTCTTTCCAGATGCAGCTGGACTTTAATAAATTATAGCTCTTCAGAGTTAGGCAATTCTTTGTAATAAAAGCAGTGTTTCACGTTCCATCACGAGTGGTCACTGTTTAGACTGGTCTCTTCATGCAGACCTGACAACGGCTGATGATATTTTCCAGTTCGCCTGCTTTCAAAGTCTGTGGCAGAGGTTTCCTAAATCAAAGAAAACAAACGTTTACTTTTTTATTTAAAAAACAGGGGAGATGATGAAACTTTGGACATGGAATTATTGACAACAACATTGAAATCCTTGGCTGACTTAAGGCATCTCTGTGCTACAGAATGACCCTAAACCTAACAAAGGGGGATGTCTACACTGAGGGAAATTACTAGGGGAGCCCCTACATGTTATGCAGGCGGTTATTGTCTCCTCAGGTACTTGCAGCATGGATGTGATGTGTATGGATGCAGGGAAGTACAGTTTACCTGAACATTCTTCTTGGATTTAATGATGCCAACCAGAAGCTGTAGGAATTTGTGTAGTAGTTACACGTTCCCCTGCCATGGCACTCTATGAATGGGATGGCTCGAAATTCTTCCAAACAAGATCCAGGAGATGCCAATGCTTGGCCAGAAGCTTCTGAGCCGGCACTTGTATACTGTAACCACCAATACATTTTTTATGAGAACTTGTCCATCAGCTTTTAGTAAACTGCAGGCAAAAAAAGAAAATCTCCTTCTAAAACATACCATATGTTCTGTGGTATATCTTGGACAAAACAAAATGAACACAGATTAGTTTTATCAAACTTCTAACAAAGCACAGAAGCCTTAATTCAAGCACAGTATGGCATTTCTTAAGTCCCTGCAAAGGCCTTTTTCTGCTCCATGAAAAGGCATGAAACTGTAACCAGTACAAAGACTAGAAAGTAGCTGGCTTCTGTCCAGTTGAGGACTACAGTAACTGAATTACAAATAAGCCAAATCTCCTATTTTGTGTGTGTTCATATTTTTTTTTTTGTATCGATTGCTTCTCCAAATACAGAAAGCAAAGAAGGCATTTTCCTTCTCTGATATTGGTAAATGATTGTAAAAATAGCTCTAAAATAATTTGTGACAGTAGAGAATTGGCTAGAAGATACCATTTAAATTTGCTGATGTTGGAAACAAGCAAATGATTTTAACCAGATGCTGCAAAAATGCTCTCATTCTTTTCCAAGATTATTATTACTACCACTACCTGGGGCAAATCCCAGGAGTGACAACAAATTTCACATTAGACCTAAAAGGACTTTACATCATGCAAAAAAAGAGGGAGTCTTAATTCCGTCTTTTACCCTCATTTGCTGGCATCCCTATGACATCCCACAGGCATGGATAACAAAGATGAAATGCTATGTCCCTTAATATAAATACACCCTTATTCCCATAATCAATTCTCACTTTGCAGGCACATTATGAACTTTCTTCACTCATATCTCGTTACGGCATCAAAATTGCTAAGGCAATCATTCGTACACAGTGTGCTGCATTTGTTCTGATTTTAGCTTTCTGTGGAGTCCAGCCCCAAGATCTGATTTATAAAAGAACTGCCTGACATGGAAGTGGGTCAGTTATTTCTGTGTATTTGTGTTCAGGACTGGTTTAATCACTCCACTCCCCAAACCTGTTTCCTAGATCTTAGCATGACATGTGAAAATGAGAGCATGCAGTTATTTTTGTCAGACTAAAATCCTATGGTTCTCCTTTCATCTTTCCCCATTTCTTCCTGCCACCTATTTTTAAGGACAGATCAGAATAGTTGTTCCTATGCTTCTGGCATTGAGTAAGTTCATGGAATTATTGTCTACTTCTTGGCAAAGGGAAAAAAAAGTATTTAACAATTCTTAATTAACAAATGAGGTATGAGCAGATGAAAATGCCAATGAAAGTGAGGGGACATAGAATTAATAATTCAAGTCTTTATATCCTTACCATAACAAAAGAAAAACCCTTCCAGAGAGACATCCAGCCTTCTGGACATGCAGGAACTACAGTTGTTTGGCTGTGAACTGCTATTACCATTGCAGCTCCTTCACAGACAACACACCTGTATGAAGAAATACATGTGCATTCAGTGCAGATATGAGGGAAAATATACAAAAATTCTATCTTCTAGGATAATGGCTAGCTAATGGCAGGGCTTACTATACATGTTACAACTCACACAGGTTTTCTCTGTTTAATGAGGAGATAAGTAAATTGAAGGTAACCCAAATACCCTACTTTGCAATTGCTTTGCAACCTCTACTAGTAACACCAGACAAAAATTGGTATAAGATGGGAATTAGTCCCAGAACATTTGAGCTTCCTAATTTTGCCTTTACTGAAGTAACAAGGTAAATTTTACCTTCTTCATGTGCTCACTACTTTACATTGTTATGGTCTAGATCAAAGTTCTGTACCTTTATTTGCTAAGATTAGAAAAAGTAATCTTTATTTCCTAAATGAAGAAACTACAAAGCTGAGCTACTGGATTGCAACAACTGGGTAGGGCAGGCTGGAAGACGAAGTGCAAAGCTTGCCTTCCCATCTTTGATTTTACCACTTTCTTTCATGCTTTTAGAGCTTTTTTAAGATGCTCTTCACCAATCTCAGCCATTCTACAGGAACTAGAAAGAGCCACATTTGCACAAGGGTGTTTCATAGCAGAGAACCTTCAGCCCCAGCTTACATGTTCTTCACCACTACAGTAGATGTACACTGTAGTACAACTACAGTAAATGTATCACACATAATTGAAAGCAGAACTTGATTTATATTGTATTCCAAATAATGAAGCTGTCTTTATTTTTAGTCTGCCTCTGATATACACAACAATAAGTTTTTTTAAAAAATATCACTGTAATCAGTAGGATTGTGTGCCATCTTCACATGCCAGCTATGCAGATTAAGCCCTGTGGTGGGACCCTAGCTTTAATCTTTTCTTAGAGTATCACTCAATATCTGACATATTCAGGTGAGTAATCAAAAGTAAGGTGGTTAAGAACAGTGCTTGTACTGGCTGAGATGGGCAGGTCTTTGCCTAAGCTTTGCCATTCAAAACAATTTATGATGTCTTTGTGGTTCCAGGCCAGAAAAGCTAAAATTCTTATACTCTTACCTGCTTATATGGGGCTCTAGTGCCCTGCCAGAAATTGGTGCCATGTCTACTGGCATTACTGCTGCAGTTGACAGCCAGTATGAATAGTCATTGCGAGAAGCAAAACTACAAACATCATTGGTGTTACAGAATAAGAATGGCATGGTGGTAAATCTCTGCAAGCAGCTACCAGCTGTTCCTAAAAGACAAAAGAGGAGGTTTGTGACAGGAGCTTAAATTTAGTGCAGCGAACAGAAGAGACACATGATGGCATCCAGTCTACTATAGTGAGAATTAAAACAGTTGGTAACTATAAAGAGAGAAGTGTCTGTACTTATTTTGGAATTATCCAAAAGCAAAATGCTTATGGTATACATAAAAATATGTATGTAAAAAATAAAGGCTAAGAACAAAATCTGTTAAAATATCTTCTTGAATGGTATTGGTCCTTGACACAGTGGCAGGGATTCAGCTGCTTAAACAAAAGTTTCTGGTGCCATTTTTGACACCCTAAAGCATCCCATTTGGTCTCCAAAAAAGCAAGATTCTCCCTCAGATCCTGTGTTGTTACTGTCAGCCCCGTGCAGATACTGTGAATATCTGTACTACACATCTATCCATAGGTAACTGAATTCCTCCTCAAAAACGTCTAGGAATAGCAAAAATGAATATAGAAGTGCAGGAAAGAAAGGTGTCTTTCAAGCCACGATTCCCGAATTGACTCAGAGCAGCAGACAACTCTGGAGACTGATGGTTGAAACCAGTGTTCATCTCGGACACTTAACTGTGAGTTTGGTTTCATGACAACTTAGCATTGCTGGACTCTAAACAAAACGATCTGGAAATTTTTACCAAGACAGTACCAAGATCTTGTCCATGTGCTCGTTCATTTCCTTGTACAAAAAGCAGCGAATAGCCGACATAGATCTGTGATGTCCCATGTGGGCATGAAGGAATCTTCGTCGATTGACTATGCCGAGTAAAGATAAAACCTCTTCTTGTTGGACCAGCAATAATAGTACCTGGTGGTCCAGGTAACCCCTGTAGACCTGGAAAGCCAATCAGTCCAGGTGGTCCTGTCGAGGGGAAAGAAACATGACTGCAAATATAATTTTGTTTGAATTTTTACTTCATTTACATTAGTGGAACCACTTGAAAACTAACAAAAAAATTATCAATAAGAAGATACAACTTGAACATTGGTAGTATTTGTTGCTAGATGTATTAACTCCTTCAGACCAAGCTCAGGGAGCTTTACATTGCATAGTTTCATGGAATAGTGAGGTATTTTAAAGGACCATGGCCATTTTTACTAAAAAAGTTGTAAAGTAAAAACATTTTATGGTGACTAAATAAAAATATTTAGTTCTATTTTGATGTCATAAAAAGGCACACTGACACCTAGGGATCTCAAGTGGATAAATAAATGTGATTAATAACAGAGGAGCACAGTCAAGGCATATTTTTGTAAATTATTATTTCAGTTGTGAACATGCGTCTGTTAAAAGCTAAGAATGTGCTTACATATGCTTGTGTCCCTAAAACTACTGTAAATGTTACAAAATCTCGATACATGCAAAAGGAAGGATTTACAGAAATCAGGAATACAGTTCATCTGTAAATTCAGTAGTAGCAGTCAAACAGAGATGTCTGCTTCCCTGTACCTCTTTGTCCCGGAAATCCCCTGTCTCCTTTTGGACCAGGCAGTCCTGGTCGACCTGGACGACCAAAACTTCCTGGTAAACCTTTTACTCCTTCAGGTCCTAAATTTTAATCAAGAAAAAAACCAGAATCATATAGCAGTAGTTATTCTAGATTTTAGTAACTGTTAATGAATTAAGTTAAAATCCCCACGTAAACGTAGCTGCATTAGAATAAAAACATCAGCATGAATTTACTAAGTTTTAAGACTGTCTGTAGTGTTACTGTCACCATATTTCCTCTCAGGAAGATTACAAGGAAATATTGAATGTATTGCAGGAAAATATTATTCTCATAAGAAAATGTTTACAGAAACCAAAGCAAATAGCTTTTTCTTTTAGCATGTGTCATACTATAGAAATATTTCAAAAATATAGTAACAGGCCATAATCATCTTGGTCACAGTTTGTAATCCTGCAAATAATGCAGCTCCCTTGTAAAACAATTTTAAGGAAAGTGTAAAAGAACAATTCTTTAGTGCCTGCTTTGTTATGCTGGAGGCAACTGTCATTCCTGAGTGGGGCATGCCTTCTGGCAAGCCTGCCCCCCTGAGGAGCTCCCTTCCTGGGGTGGAAAGCTGTAGTATTGAGAAGGGTGGCCAAGTACCCACTGCACATTCACCTCATCCTAACTGCTCCTTGCTTCCTCATTCCTCACAGTCGTGGCAGGCTTCACTTCTAGTGCCAATGGAGAAGTAGCCAGCCTCTCCTTTCCCTTCCCACCCCCAGGCTATGACAGACACAATCACTTTGTAGCACTTCTAGAGTACTTCTATTACATGTGGTGTTTTCCCGCCGCAAAATGACAAACATCCTGAGCCTGTTTCTGGTTGTATGAAAATGGTGAATGTTTTGATCCAGGTTTACTTTTTATTCCATTATTTTTCTTAGGCTTATGTTGAAGGAGAAACTTGCTCGCTCACTGACTTCGAGGGTGGAGGGCAGATGGAATGGGACAGGTTATAAATACAAGGTTGTTAACAAGGTACAAAGAGCTGTTTTTAAAATACGGAGAGGTATTTTTAAAGACATGTCAATTTTCTATGCAGAAGCATGTTTTCCTACTAAACCAAAATGTTCTACTAAGCAGCACACACAAACATGTACAGAGATAAAAATATAAACCACCTTGTAGTCCAGGAATCCCTTGAATTCCTTGATCACCTGGTGTTCCTGGGATTCCTGGCAGTCCAGGAGGACCCTTGCTTCCTGGGATGGAGAATATTCTCCCAGGCACTCCAGGTGGACCTAGCAGCAAAAATATAATGAAGAGCTATTGCTTTATATTAAAAGAAAGCAAACAAACTACAAAACAAAACAAACAAATCAACCTAAGTCAGCTGGTATTGGAATGAGAAGGGTTGGTTACCATGCTGGCCCTTTGGTCCCCTTGGCCCTTCTGCACCTTGTGGTCCAGGGGGTCCTTGATTACCCTTTTCTCCTAAAAAAGAAGATTGGAGATAGGTCTGTCTGGTTTAAAATGTCAAAACAACTGTCAAAGTTTCAGAGGCTTATTTAAGAGTCCTGCATAATCCATGCAACCTTCCCAAAGAGTAACACAGCCTGCAGACTCATTTGAAATGTGAAAGTGGACTTCTACATCTCTGCTGTTACTGTATAATTTATAGGCCAAGTGCAGTCAGTTTATAAGAAGATATTTCCATGCCTATCTTCATATAATGGCTGGTCCCATAAACCTAGCTTAAAAAATCAACTTTAGATGTCCTTTTTATCTTAATGTGTTTTTGTCACTGAGTTTGCAGGTCAAGTGCTGCCTTCAGTGATGCTGTGCAGTTCAACTCCCTGTAAAACACTACTGTCAGTTATGCGGATGGCTGTTAAGAGGGTTGTATAGTTTTTCAAGTATTTGAAATTTAATAAGCAATTCTTTTCACTGTGCAAAATACTGTGCGTATTACTTTCCACAGCTCTGCTGGAAATAATAAAAAAAAAAACAACAAAAAAAAGTATTTTTATCATCAAGTCAGGAGATTTGACTGACTATGCCACAAAATGAGAGCTTTTTGCTTAAGAAAGTGTAATTACTGTCTGTACAGTGACTTGTCAAATTAGAACAGATTTAAAATACACAATAATTAGCATGGAACACAAACCAGTAGGTTAAACAGGTAATGACAATTTTGTGTCACTGTCAATCATGCAATTGAAAAATGAGAATATTGGAGTAATGCAGACCTATATCAGATTTAAATCACTAAAAAAGTGTTTAAATTAAAAGGATTTTTAGCCAGCTACTGATCCAGCTAACCCTCAGGAATATGAAATTAATGAAGCCAATACATTTAACAGTTCGTCTGCTGATAAACTGGTAAATTAGATTATAATTGGGACTATTCTTATGGTAAACAGAGGACCCAGTGCTCTGTGTTGTAATTATGATTAAATGTTCTTGAGTTCTGTAGCTAAAGGTTGCTAAAAATTCACATCTTCTAGCAGTGGTGTGGTATTTCTAATTAGCAGACTCAGTCCCAAAGTCCTTACACATTATTAGTCACTAAGGACAAACTTGTTTTGAATTTGCCCGGAATGGAGGCCATTGAGGTTTCAGCCCTTCCTCACTTTAACATACCCATAGCATCTAACTCAAACAAAATGCTCTCTCAGTGTAACGCTTTCATTTATAGCTGACCTACACCCTGCTCTTGATGGAAAAACCTAGTACTAGATCATACCTAGTACTATTACACACATTCTATTACAACGCAACATGTAAATGATTGTATTTGGCACACAGACATGTATGTAATAAATACATTAATACCTTTTACACCTGGGAATCCAGGAAATCCAGGGTCCCCTCTGGCACCAGGATAACCTGATCGACCTTCTATTCCCTGCAAATCAGATAATACCAATAATAAACAGGAAGCAGCATCTGCACGCTATGAAGTACATTTTGTTTTTGTTCAGAATATTCAAAGCATTATGTTCACAGAACATGCTACAACTAGAATTACCTGCTCCATTTGTGAGCATGTTAGAAATAGTCACGTCATTGTTAACATTATTCTGTAATACAGAACAGCCAAGGAAACGACATGCCAGAAATTCTCAATAATTTCTTTTTGGTCCACTTAAGTCCATGAAAACTCGTTTTCATATCCATTTTAATATCTTTCCTCTACTACAAGTTTTTTTTGGGAGGATGTGAGGTTTTTTGTTGTTGTTGTTTTTTGGTTTTGTTTTTTCTTTTTAAATTGTCCTGGGTGTTATTTTCATGGTAAGAGCAAAATTAACAATGGAGTAAGAAACAAGCAATATTCCTTTCACTGACTTTTGGACCAGGAGGACCAATGTCGCCGGCTGGGCCTGTTGGCCCTGGTATGCCATCTGCCCCTCTAACACCTTTGCTTCCTTTAATGCTGGAAGTGGGAAGACCAGGAGGCCCTGGAAAACCAGGAGCACCTGTACAGAAACATCAGAGTAAGTACAGACTACCGCCAACAACATTTTACATACATTACATACAATGCAGTACAACATTCAACGACTCTATAAGGGTACTTGTGTTTACCACCTCAGTGATTCCCAAGGAAATATACCCATTTTTAAAAAAAATCAACTCATTCTTCCTAGCCTGCTAATTTAATCTGAGATCAGAACTGAGTTCTTGCAGTACTCTATGGCACTACAGTTTTTTAATATCCTCCAGTTGTCGTTACGCCTGTAATCACACTCATGCTATCTCACTTCTTTAAAGTTGGATCTCAGCTGCCCTACCGACTGTATGGGAAGAAAGCAAAATAATGCAATCGAGTGGACTGCAAAGCTTAATGTTATTTTAATTTACATCATACTGCATAGACCATCACAGTATTTGCAGTGGCAACATTGCATTAACTGGTAAAGGAACTACCTGTTTAATTATGAAGCTGTCTTGGGGGAAGACCCCTTTCAACCTTGAGTTCTGGACAGGCTGAATTCTGCTTTCAATTATCAGTACATCATGTCAGATAAATAAGGATTTATAACAACACACCTGGTCTTCCGTCTGCACCAGCAATACCTCTGTTCCCTTTTTGGCCAGGAATTGCCATGCCTGTTGCACCTTGAAATCCAGGTAACCCCACCAAGCCAGGAGGTCCAATGGGTCCTTGATCACCCTGATGACCTTTCATACCTGGTGGCCCAGGAAAGCCAGGCAGTCCCATGTCCCCTTTGATTCCTGCAAAGTGTAAGTATTACATATGGGGAGAGCTGTCAAGATGGTAAGATGATGTGACTACACAGAATATGTGCATTTACAATACCACAGAGGTAGAATTCAGCCTTCTTTTTTTTTAGTATGGAGAAGTCCCCAAAGCCACCTTGCTACTGTAAAGCAAAATAGTTGTGAGAAGACAGGACTCACTGCAAGGTAGTGTACACACCACTCTTTTCTTCTTTTTTATCTCTCTCTCTCTCTTTTTTTAGTAAAAAAAAAAAACAAACAAAAACCTCCACTTCAGAGATTGCTCATACAAAGGAATAAACTTGAGAGGAGGATAGAAAGACCAGAGCAGGGAATGTTTACTGAAGCATGAGTAGAAGAAATGCTTCTTTGAACAGCAGAACTGGCAAATCTTTTTAAACTAAATTCCAGCTAAAAGCATCAATATGAGTACAATAAATAAGAGACTGCTCCAAAAGGGTATTGTTCTAAGGTTGCTCTTAGAGTGCATGATCTACAGATGGAGAGGATGAAGAGAGAATTTCTTTTTTAAAGTAAGGCAAGTCAATAGATTTCTACCAGTATCAGAAATACAATGCAAAACCTAAAAAAAGGAAGAGCCCCCTCAGTCAGCTGTTCATCAATATAAAAGGGGAGATGAACGAAATTAAAATGCAATCACTGTAGCTTTCTTACAGTATGCTTAGTATTCAGCAGCATCATCTGTTTTCATTAGAACATACTCTGTTAATCAAATTATGCATCAAAATAAAATTTCAAAAGCTCTAGAATGTGTATATCACCTTCACAAAACCATAAAAGTTAGCTTCTTCATTTCCTTTTTACAATAGTCTTAACTTTACAAGCAAGTAAACATTGACATTTAATATATAGCACCAAATCATTGATCAAAAGCACAGAATCACTCTTGATCTCCTCTGACACTTTTAGTGCCATTTCAAGCATCCAAAAGCAGGAGACAACTTAAAGATGACGATGATGGTTTTGGTATTTAAAAATTAAGCTTTTGCTTTCTGAAAAGACAACTCACCTCTATGACCAGGAATACCTCGAAGGCCAGGGATTCCTCTCCCTGGTGCTCCTATAAAATATTAGGTCATGTTATACTCAAAGTCCTGAATAATTGTTAGAAAACATCATAGCTGTCTAATATTTCAGAATTTCTTCACAATTCACTGAATCAAAACATAAATTTTAGTTATATGTAAAATATAATTTATTGGTTATTTCCATTTCTTCTACCCAGAAATACAAATTAATTTTTTAAGTTTTTCTTTATAGTAGGAACTCTTATTGGTCAATCATATTTGAGGTACATTCTACAATAATACGCTTTGTCTTTTTTCAGAGAAAAAAAACCAGAAGAAAATTCTGTATTTAAGTTAGTTACTAAGAAAAATAAAGAAGTGTGAAAACTTAAAAAAGAAAATATATTAACAGTGATTACTTCAAACTTAATATGAAAAAACTTAGTAAATACTATGAATGCCTTCTTAGTATCCTCTTTATACTAACATGCAAAGAAACATTTTCACTGTAAAATATGAAAATGCTCTCTGTCAGAATTCAGTAGAGGACGAAATCTATCTGTGGACCTTGATGACATCAGGAGTGACATTTAAATGGAAGATTTACAACCCAACAGTCAGGTCATGGAAAACTTCACTATTCATGTAAGTAAACACTGCGATTCCTTTTATCTTATTTCCTCATAAGAGAGGAGACTCCTTTAAAAGGATTTTGGTTCTTTTCATCTCTTTGAGATTAAACACGTAAGAACTGTTAACAGCAATACTTTGGCTCTTGCAGACATTAACATTTTTAGGGGAAGTTATTACAAATCACATGTATAATAGAGCAGTAACATATGCATTTGAGTTGTTAACAGCATGTACAACAATTACATAGAAACACCTGTGAATTATGTAAGTCTGAAAATCCATCTACTTATAAACTTATCTTTGGCTCCACAAAAGCTCCTTATTAATCCTTCCCAAATAATCCTTGTCCATTTAACTAGGGAAAAACACAATTGTAAAAGAGAATGAAAATATTTCACTGGTGTTACCTGGTTCTCCCTTTACTCCTGGGGGACCAGGCATACCATCCTGACCTTGATTACCTCTTTCACCAGCAGGTCCATTTTTTCCCGGGTCTCCAACAGCACCTGCGAGTTATAATGGACCACAACATCATTTTCACTTCTACTGTTTTGCATTTCAAAGGGAGAAGATATGAGTCCCCTTTACTAAAATTTAATTAGTTCAGCTACTTCAAAGATAGATGTAACTGTGTTGGTATATAAACATTTGTAAAGAGCAGCATATAATTTTTATTGAGCTCACTGGACTTCAATGGATTTAACACCTCCCCAATTTTCACAGGCAATAACTTTCTGTCTTTCAAAGACATTTTAGGACCCTGTCTTTGATTTAACTCACGCTGGTGGGAATCCATACAGGCAGCATGGTTTCTCTCCCTGGCTTTATTACAAATTCAAGGTTTCTCTAAACAGAGAGTAGGTTCTGATCTTTGCTAACTCTGCTGATACGTCAGTGCAAGTTTACTAAAGTCTACAAAACCACAACATCATCATTTTGATGAGGATCTCTGAATACAAGAGCACTCAATGCTCTTTTTGAAGACAATTACTGGCACTCACTTTAATAAAGTCTGTACTGCATACCTCTCTGTTGCTGCATATTTACACACTCCCCCTTATGTATATTTTGAATGGTTTGATCTCTTCTGTTGCTTTAACAAACAACTGCAACTCTGTCCCCTCTTTCCACTCTACTTCATTTTCTTCTCCTCCTCATCTATTGTTCTCTTTTAGGAGGGAGAACAAGCCTTTCTTACAATTGTATGGCTATCACATCTTGAGATGCTTTACAATAGTGAAACAAAATTAAAACCTCTTGCCTCAGCTGAGCTGATAACATTGAAAACAGGCTGTTAAAGACCTTAGCTGGAACCAGAGAAGGTAAACAAAGCCTTGAACTAACATAAACAGAGACTGCAACTGCATCAGTTAAATTCTGAAAAGCTCAGAACAACATCAACTGCCTCATTACAAAGAAAATAACAAACCAGGGGGCAGTGATTTGGGAGAGATGCTATATATCATACCAGGAGGGCCTGTAATGCCCTGTTGTCCTGGATGGCCCTGCTGTCCTTTAGCACCAATATCTCCAGGAGGTCCAATGTTCCCTATAAGAAAAGACGAGTGTGGGAGAGGAAAAAAAGGCATTATCACTAGATGCAGACTCAGTCTGAGAACTTCACTATCATTTCTGCGTTCAACAGCTGTGAAAGACCTCTACCTGATGTAAGCTAGCCTGGCTGCACTGACTACAAAGGAGCTGTTTAGGTTTACAGCAGATGAATATAAATATGCCACCCCACAAGCACCCTGTGTAGTTTATTGAGAAATTATCTTCTAGAAGCATGTCAACATCTCACCACCCCTCCAAAACAAAACATACCTGGGATTCCTGCACCTCCAGTCTCCCCTCTGATCCCATGTGGTCCTGGTACTCCTTTATGTCCTGGATGACCTCGGGATCCTTTTTCTCCTTTGCTGCCCAAAACTCCTGGGGGGCCTGGATCTCCCTGAGAAATAGCAGTTGCACACAAACAGGTAAAGAAACACATTACATTAAATACGTTACATTCCATATTTGAACAACAGAAAAATGATACGTAATTTTAAAGTTTAAGTAAGTAATAATGGTTCATTATGATTTTCAGACAAAAAAAATCAAAGTAGACTAATATGAAGCCTTCTCATAATACCACTGATCCTTTAGACATAGCTAAGAAAAAAAAGATCTTTCTTTAATCTGTACAAACCAACTTCAGTCTTCAGATGTTTTCACCGGCACATAGGCTTCCCTTCAATTTTATTCTAACAGCTCCTCTTTTGATCCAAATATATGTTCCTTACATGATATACAGCTACACAAAATACTGAAATACATATTTTTGCTTGAATTCCCACTGACTTTCATGACAGCAATCTCATTGTGGCTACCCAGCTAATACAGAAAATAAACAGATAACTTAAGACAGATTGCAGGAGTTATAGTACAGTTTACAGCCTCAACCATGTATTTCAGATAATCTCATATGTAAAAAGACTCCCAGTTGCTCAACAACTAGAATATGTGGAGTAAAACTGTATACAATTGACCTAACTTAGGTACTGTTTTTTCATAGCAGTATATATTATGTTCAGTAATATATATTGCTAAGAAAAAACACTGTTCATCTTATGTAATGATATTACTAGACTGTCAAAACCCAACAGTACAATTTTAGATTACAAAACTTTTGCATTTGCTAAAATTATGTTTTTCCATACTTTTCAACATACAAGTATTCCTACTGCTGACTTTTTAAGTGCAAGTCCTTGTTCCTAGTGGATTAGCAACTTTTACAGAAATAAAGTTATTTCCAAGATATTCCATCTTTACAAATAAGAAATTCTTCCAGCAAGAGAAAAATGAAATATAATGAACTCAAAAATTTCTCCTGAATAATGACACAATAGGATTTCCATATTTCTTATCACTAACAAATTAGCTACTTCTGCAAGCTCTGCAGCTCGTGCTTACACATTGTTCTGTTTTTATAGTTAAAGGCTCTGCATATTGCCTAATATGACAATGCTTCCATTGCCTTTATACCTTTGGACCAGGTTCTCCTGGAGGCCCAGGAGATGGGTACCCACGGTCTCCTTTGTCACCTGGAAAGCCACCATAGCCTGGTGGACCAGGGTCACCTGATGGTCCTGGAAAGCCTGGAGATCCTTTCTGTCCTTTTGGACCTGGAAAAATACAGATACTGATACCATTCTTAAAAGGTTCATAACTGCATACCACACCTTGTGTTTTGCTTGTATATTCAGATATTCATTCTTCATTAAAGTAATTTACACAGCCAGTGGTTTTACTTCTAAACACATTAAAAAGAGGTTCTTACATGTAACAATATATAAATTAAAGAAGTTATATTTCATTTAGAGAGAGGGAGAATTGCATTCTGCAAGTGAAGCAAATGCTGGGGTGGTGAGAATTCTATAGGTACTGCAAAGAATAAATCCCAGTTTAAGTATTGTGTACTGCGTTTACAGTAACTGCTCAGATCTGTGCAAACGCTTCGATACAGCTCTATGAATTTGTAATATGACTTGATAGAAAATAACCTGGAATTCCCATGTCCCCTTTGTTTCCCGGTGCACCTGGGAATCCTTGTCCTCCAGGAATCCCTGGAAGACCCATAAATCCTTTGACACCTGCAAGATGAAGAAATAAGTGTCAGCTTCACATGTTTGCTTTAGACATTGGCTGGCTGGCTGGCAGAGCTGTCATGAATACAGAATCCCCTACCACCCACCTTGTCATGGCATCTTATTATTTTATAAATCAACATGCAGCCAAAGTATAATTCTTCCTCTTGCCCCAGACACAGATAAAATTATCAACATTGTTGTCAGAAAGTCAAGGAAATAACAAGCATCTTATGTATCAACATTAAAATAAAGGTTTGTGACCACAGCACTTAGGGGCAGCAACTGAAATATACTTTTGCAAAATTTGATCAAGATCATGAATTTGTATTTACGCACTGGACTCTCCTTTCATTGTCCCTGAGTTCAGTCTGGTTTCTGGGCATGTGACAACCACATTATTACTTACTCATGATGCACTTCTCATAACTAGTATATTCAAGAGCTTTTTCTTATATGGCTTAGGCACTTTTTCTCCCACTCACTTATCTTCAGCTTATTTTAGCTAAATTAGCATCCAGTTTAACGACTACAAGATCTAGTTGCATCTAGAATGTCCAGATGTCTAAATTCCAAGGCACTAGCAATGCCTGAAGATTTAGGCAGGTGAAGTCTTATTTTCTTCCATAAAAAGCCAGGGAGTAGTGGAACATCTGCAGTTTTTCCTGTGATGGCTACACTGCAATGATTATAAAGGATCTTAATGACAGAACATAGCAGTGATGCTGTAATGACATATAGCACAGATAATTGCCATTGTGAGAAGAGCCATTTGATTACAAGTTTAAAATTATTTCTAATTGTCACCATTTTTATGTATCTAATTATAGTGTCATATGGTTTTCTACAAAGAAGTTCTTTCAAAGAATCAAAAATAAAGAATACAGAGAAATAAAGATGTTTTATTAGCATTAACCTGAAAAAAAAAGATGCATTGTCTCATTCAAGGTTCAACATGTATTATTATATATGAGGTTACGGTAATGGCAGAGCCAAACTTTGTGAAATGGCTTAGGTAGGTTTATAATTTATGCAGGTTCTTTTTAAGTCTGTTTTTCACTGAAGTTATGGTAACTTTCAAAATATAAGCCAAATATGTAGGCTTTGAAAAGGGAAACAGAATCAATCTGAAATAAAAAAAGCTTCTGTAATATTTTTGTGCACAACTGTAATGTACATATTTTAAAATTCTTACTTTTTTGTTAATAATACTGGGAATTCAAACTTCACTTTTATAAGTACCAATTTTTATTCATTGGCCTCATTGGCTTTTAGATTTTAAAGTTATTATTCAGGATCTAGTAGTATTTTCTATTTATTACCACAAACAATCATAGAATTGTTTAGGTTAGAAAAGACCTTTAAGGTTAATGGTTGGACTTGATGATCTAGCACTGCCAAGTCCACCACTAAACCATGTCCTCGAGCACCACATCTACCCATCCTTTAAATACCTCCAGGAATGGGGACTCAACCACTTCCCTGGGCAGCCTGGTTCGGTGCCTGACTACCCTTTCAGTGAAAACATGTTTCCCAATATCCAAGCTAAACCTCCCCTGGTGCAACTTGAGGCCATTTCCTCTTCTCCCATTACTTGTTACTTAGCAGAAGAGACCAACCCCCACCTCGCTACAACCTCCTTTCAGGTAGCTGTAGAGAGCAATAAGGCCTCCCCTCAGCCTCCTCTTCTCCAGACTAAACACTAAACCTCCCCTGGTGCAACTTGAGGCCATTTCCTCTTGTCCTAACTCTTTTTACTTGGGAAAAGAGACTGAGACCCACCTTGCTACAACCTCCTTTCAGGTAGTTGCACAGAGCAATAAGGTCACCCCTCAGCCTCCTCTTCTCCAGACCAAATAACCCCAGCTCCCTCAGCCACTCCTCATAAGACTTGTGCTCTAGACCCTTCACCAGTTTCATTGCTCTTCTTTGGACATGCTCCAGCACCTCGATGTCTTTCTTGTAGCGAGGGACCCAAAACTGAACACAGTATTTGAGGCGCAGCCTCACCAGTGCTGAGTACAGGGGCACTATCACTTCCTTAGTCCTCCTGGCCACACTATTTCTGATACAAGCCAGGATGCTGTTGGCCTTCTCGGCCACCTGGGCACCTATTCAGGTGGCTATCGACCAACACCCCAGGTCCTTTTCTGCAGGGCAGCTTTCCAGTCACTCTTCCCGAAGCCTGTAGCATTGCATGGGGTTGTTGTGACCCAAGTGCAGGACCCGTCCCTTAGCCTTGTTAAACCTCATACCATTGGCCTCGGCCCATTGATCCAGGCTATCCAGGTCCCTCTGTAGAGCCTTCCTACCCTCCAGCAGATCAACACTCCCAGCCAACTTGGTGTTGTCTGCAAACTTACTGAGGGTGCACTTGATCCCCTCGTCCAGATCATTGATAAAGATATTAAACAGAACTGGCCCCAATACTGAGCCCTGGGGAACACTGCTTGTGACCAGCCACCAACTGGATTTAAATCCATTCACCACAACTCTTTGGGCCCGGCTATCCAGCCAGTTTTTTACACAGCGAAGAGTACACCCATCCAAGCCATGAGCAGCCAGTTTCTCCAGGAGAATGCTGTGGAAAACGGTGTCAAAGCTTTACTAAAGTCTACGTAGATGACATCCACAGCCTTTCCCTCATCCACTGAGCAGGTCACCTTGTCATGGAAGGAGATCAGTTTAATCAAGCACACTGACCTGCCTTTCATAGACCCATGCTGACTGGGCCTGATCCCCTGGTTGTCCTGTACGTGCTGCGTGATAGCACTCAGGATGATCTACTCCATAACCTTCCTGGACACTGAGGTTAGACTGACAGGCCTGTAGTTCCCCAGATCCTCCTTCTGGCCCTTCTTGTAGATGGGTGTCACATTTGCTAACTTCCAGTCAACTGGGACCTCCCCAGTTAGCCAGGACTGCTGATAAATGATAGAAAGTGGCTTGGTGAGCCCTTCCACCAGCTCCCTCAGTACCCTTGGGTGGATCCCATCTGGCCCCATAGACTTGTGCACGTCTAAGTGGTATAGCAGGTCACTAACCATTTCCCCTTGGATTATGGGGGCTTCATTCTGCTCCCCGTCCCTGTCTTCCAGCTCAGGGGCTGGGTGCCCGGAGAACAACTGGTCTGACTATTAAGGACTGAGGCAAAGAAGGCATTAAGTACCTCAGCCTTTTCCTCGCCCTTTGTCACTATGTGTCCCCCTGCATCCAATAAAGGATGGAGATTCTCCTTAGCTCTCCTTTTCTTGCTAACGTATTTGTAGAGACATTTTTTGTTGTCTTTTACAGCAGTAGCCAGATTAAGTTCCAGTTGGGCTTTGGCCCTTCTAATTTTCTCCCTGCATAATGGGTCTGTATTTGGAAGGAAACAAATAATCATTTGGTGGTAGCTGCTATGATTTTCAAAGAGCAGCTTTTGAAATTGCTTCGTTTCAGAATTCTCAGAAAAGCTTCAGAGTTCATACAGAGAATGTAGTGCTGCTGCTGGAGCCGTGTTTATGTGCTAGCACTGAGGTAATATTATCTCTACCTTCCACGAGATACAGTAATTTTCAATATACATATTCCATACCTGGTAGACCAGGTACTCCTTCAGGCCCGTCAAGACCTGGGGGACCTCGCACACCGGCATCTCCTTTTTCTCCTCTTAGACCCATTCTTCCTTGAACTCCTAACACAAAGTTTCATTAAAAAAGTATTACAAAACAACATCTTGTATCCTAAGTTTTATAACTCTTAAAACTAATGAAGCGGAAGTGGAGGATAAGATTTTCACTCTGTGAACGTACACAAGCAAGACACAAGCTCACAGTTAATGCCTTCTGTTTTTCTCATATGGAGACAAAAGGAAGTTTCTGAAAGCTTCTATAGGAAAATGTCTACACAAAAAGCCAGACAGCATTAGTTAAGCACATTCAACTCATACACAGAGAGTCTGTATTAATATTGCAAACAAAGGAATTCTTCTGACAGTCAAGTATTTCTGAGGAGACTCAATTTCTTTGCAATCCAGCATCTAGTTGGTAAGCACACCCATTTCTGTGCTCATGGGCTACTAAATGTGTAAAACCATGAATGTATAGCATATATTTATATAAGCCTCCTAGTACTACTAACATATTAATACTGGTTTGACATTACAATAAGTTTTTTTTTTAAGGAATATGGACTTGTTAAAATAGAAATAAATATTTAATGTAATACCCAACTATCTCATAATTAAAAAGGCAGTTACAGTGTTCAGCAATAATTATTTGAAAGCCATGTGAATAGTCTCAGTAGTCAGTTTCTTCCATGTTTTAGAATCCACTGGAACTGCAACATAGATGACAACTCTAACCAGTTTTGAATGACAGAACAATGAATGTGTACCTTTTAAGCCTAGTTCTCCTTTAGTCCCAATACTGACCAAGGTCTCAGATGGTCCAGGAAAACCTTTATCACCTGGTTCGCCTTTTGCTCCAAGAAACCCTTTTCTTCCCTCTAGTCCTGGGAAGCCAGAAGAACCTGCAAGAAAATATAATGAAATTTTCTGAAGAAACCTGACTAGACAATAGCATAAAGGAAGCAATGAAACTCCTGTCTTCGAGGGCAACTATGTATGTAAATATACATTTCAAATCAACAACCTAAACTAGCTGTTTAATTACTCCAATCATCAATAAAACATCTATGAGCACAGTATATGGCAAGAGATGGTAATTATTTCTTATACTGAATATATGTATAATCTTACATCTGTTGAATAGATACAATAATGATATTTGGAATATGAACAGGGTAGAAAAAAGAGATCAAAAAAGCTCTCTGCTCTTTATTTAGTAAATCATCAGTCACTTTTACAAATACCAATGAAATAAAAAAGGTAGCAATTCAAAACTGCTAAAAAACCCCCCAAAAACTAACAATGTCATTCAGTCTGTAAACTGCATGTATACAGAAGTCAAAGATGTACCAAGACTCAAAGAAATTCCGGTATGACGTGTACTCAGGAGTGGTAACACACATCAAGATGGACAACAAGCCTAGTTCAGCATGGAAGTTTCTATATTCTAAGTAATAATGAAGGCAGATACTATGGCCACTTGCCTCTGACACCTGGGTTGCCTGGTCTTCCAATCATGCCAGGGGGTCCAGGAATTCCTAACAGGCCCATTATACCTGGCTCTCCCCTTGAGCCTGTGGAATTGAAGCAATATGAACATAGTTAGTATTTTATCAGTGAAACAGAACATTACTTCAGAAAACTACACATATGCCTGTCATTTAAGTGTTTAATTACTTATTTGATTTTTTTCCCCCCATTTCTACAACATACTGTCTAAGCTGGTTTTCCAGTCTTGAACTACATGAATAGCACTTACACCCACAGTAACCCCCAAACTACCTAGATTAGTAGCTGCAACAGCTTCTATCAATGAATGAAATAACTGACAGTGAGGATAATGCATCTGAGATACCCACATAGGGATGGGAGACCTGTCATGGGATGTTCTAGCTCTAGTTGAAGGCCAGCTGGGACATGACAACTCCCCTCAAATGACACCAGAAACCTAGGTTTGCACAACTGAGTCAAGCACTACATGTTTATCATTAGTTTTACAGGTTGTATATATAAAAAGGTATGTACGACCTCCTTCCCACAGAATAATGCAGGATTTGATAATAATGAAAAATCTTTGTTAGAGATAAGAAGCATTATATACCTAATTTTTTTTATTCTACAAATCCAATTTGAACACATTTCTGAAAAAAACCCTACAGGGATTACTGACCTTACTTAAAATTAGCTCTGGTTACCATGACAGAATTTGACCTGACTCAACTCTGTCAGATTCAAGATCTGAACTTGCTTTTCAAGAAAAAGAAGATAGCATTAATAAGCTATCTGTTTGAAAATGGATGCTGAGTAAAAGCTACTAAACACTTTACACTTCCATTATGCTGAGGAGTTGCTTTGAATGTTAACTAGCTCATGTCCTACTGCAAGGACATTACTGTACAAAGGCCAATGTAAGGTAGCCTGCTGTTCTCAGAAGACTGTTATGGAAAGTTCAGTACTATATCATGACAGCTTCAAGATATGCTCATCATTTATTTTCCATATAGATCTCAATGATATACGAAACCTGTTGATGGAAAAGTATTTCAGCATCTTCACTTTGGAAAAGCATGACTGACACCTTTTTGCAGAGATTGACTTAATTTCTATGTCAAAACAAGTATTTGGGGAATCCTTACCTGGTACACAAGAGATTCCTGGCCTTCCAGACTGTCCCTTGGGACCAGGTAATCCTGTATTTCCCTGAAGACCTATTAATCCAGGTTCCCCAGGCTTTCCATAGATTCCCGGGATACTCAAGCCAGGACGACCTAGTTTTCCTTTTGAACCTTGCAAACCTCTTCCTCCTAAGAAAAGTGCATGACAGTACAGTATGGTACATCTGTCTGGAAAATAAACCTTTATCTCTATCTTGCTGTCAGGAGCATGAAACTCTTCTTGAACTCTGCCTGGTTGGGGGCTAAACATTAGATGTATAAGACAACATACACGCTCAGGAAATCTTAAAAGAGTTGTGGTGGTGTTTTTTTTTTTTAAAGAAAAAAAAAGGCAGGAGTAGGCAATTCTGTCATGTCTCAGAAAAAGAAGAAAAAAACAGACAAAATTCCTTTCGAGGTCATATATAGGAAGACTGTGCTGGGTGTGTTTCTCTTAGAACGGAAGTCATACACAGTATATGTAGGTACTTTTGAGTCCCTAAACTGGTTTTTCACCTAGCTGAGCTCTTCCTCTGTTCTGTTTCTTTATTAATTGCATTGCACCAAGGAATCTAAGTTCAGCCCCATATAGGAGATATCACTGAAATATCCCTTTTTCTGCAGAATTTGGGCCAGTTTGTGATTAGTCTTTGTACTGTACAATGGAATCTGAATCTTAATCCATCTTAATCGGTGCATGTGTTTCCTCCCATCTGCAGAAAGTGTATCTTGTAAATGGACTCACATTTTCTCACATACTATCCTATAACCAATATCCAAAACCAACTTCAGCTCCCTCAGGCCATTGGAAGGCAGAAACAAAACCCAGACCCACCCAGTCAAATGGCACATTTGATTCAGAAGGTCCTACCTGGTGGGCCTGTAGCTCCCTGGCCACCTGGCAAACCTGGCAGGCCAATAAGACATTCAGCAGGTTTCCCCGGAAAACCTGGATCTCCAGGAACTCCAGGTGAGCCACGATCTCCTAAAAGAAAGGAGACTGGATTAAAAATGATTTAAGTAGAAGTTTCAGGCTTTGAGTGAGCATTGTTTGACTTGGCTTCCCTTTCCTTAAAATAGCTTGCTGTGCTCCTTGAGTTTGTTTGACAACAGTACCTCTTAGGCCATCATCACCATCATGTCCGGCAGGCCCTGGTAGGCCTGGAAGTCCTGGAAATCCAGTATCACCTTTTGAGCCAGGAATG